GCTGCAACATCTCCCTGCAAGTGAGCTGCCGTCTTCATCTCGGCTCAGATAGGATGCACGGTTGACTGTGCTTCGGCGAGCATCACCTTTGCTTTGAATGGCGCGATCTTCAGCAGAAACAATATCTCGAGCTCAGATATTCTTGGTAGCCTGAGGCCCTGGTTTGGTGAGATTTCCCTCCTACACATCATTATCCTCTCCCTGCAAGTGAGCTGCCGTCTTCATCTCGGCTCGTATAGGATGCACGGTTGACTGTGCTTCGGCGAGCATCGCCTTTGCACCATGTCTGGGTATGGCGCAGTTTTCCGCAAAAAAAATCTCTCAGATATTCTTGGTATGAGGCCCTGGTTCGGTGAGATTTCCCTCATACCACATGATGCAGGAGAATCCATCCTTCAACACCATATTGCAACAACATCTCCCTGCAAATGAGCTGCCTTCTTCGTCTCTGCTCACATAGGACGCACGGTTGACTGTGCTTCGGCGAGCATCACCTTGGCAAGATGTCTGGGTATTCTTCTGTTGCGGAGCGCAGAATTCCCGCCTCTGGGACGTCGGATCGGCAAAACTGCCCCAGCTGAACCAACGCAATCTGAATCATTCCAAAGCCAGGGGAGGCCATCGCTAGTAGGTTGGAGGCCATGGCTATTAGGTTGGATGCCATTGCTATTTGTAACTCAAAAGAAGATTGTTGTTGTTGTTGTTTTAATGAGTCGCTTTCAAAAGGGTCAATGCTATGCCTTCCACGTCGCTTCTTGCAGTCTCAAGATGCCGTTAAAGTTTTCTGTTTGGGCTTTTCACTGTCTGGGAACAACAAACCCAACAACCTCGTTCTTCAAAGTGACCCAAAAAGGCCTTCTCTAAAGACACTGGCCGGGGCCGGTACAAAAAAAAGGGGAAGTCACTTTGAAGAAGCTGGAAGGCCTTTTTGTTTCTCCATCAAAGTTGAAAGCTCAAGTGACTCAAGTGTCTGCACCAAATACACGATCTTTACACCCAGCATGGGATGACTATAGTTCACATCCCAAGTGAAATCTGTTTTCAACTGGGCGACCGCCGCGTTTTGAAAAAATAAATACATTCGTGGTGCTTCGTCCAAAAGGGGTTCCCCCACCCAAAAAATACGCACACTCCAGATATGATACATTCGATCTGATCGCTCCAAGTCCCGAAGAAGCCTCGGAGAAGAAAGAAATCTAAGTAAAACCTGGTGGTGTGCAAGGTGGTCTAAGCATCCAAAACGAAGAAACACCAAAACAAGCGGCGAATGCACATCTGCCGACCTCCAAAGTCACCAAAACAGCCTGAAATCTCGAGGGGCGTGTTATTACCACAAATCACAACAGTACAGAAAAATGCAGGTACGTGCAGCTGATCAGGCTGCATGAGACGGTTCAATAGTCAACAGACTCCCTATGACTCCAAGGGGTACACACACAAATCAAAAATAGAACAAAACGCAAACGTCCTTCAAAGTGGATTGCCCCCCGAACGTGAACCGGTGAGCACCGAAAAGCATGTTTCTTTCCCGCTCTGAGCCCCAAAGGAAACCAATCCGTCCTCCCGTCCTCCCCACCTTCGCTTCCATCGGACCGGTGGAGCTCACCTTCCGGTCGGACCGGGTGCGGTCGGACTGGAGGGATGGGCATGGATGGACATGAGAACGGGAAGGAATGAGGACGAGTCAACGAACGAACGAATGAACGAACGACTGAGTGACTGAGTGACTGAGTGAGTGAGTGAGTGACTGAGTGAGTGACTGAGTGAGTGAGTGACTGAGGGAGTGACTGAGTGACTGAGTGAGTGAGTGACTGAGTGAGTGAATGAGGGAGTGAGTGAGGGAGTGAGTGTGGAATGAAAATGAAATGAAATGGAATGGAATGGAAATGAATATGAAAATGCAAATGAAATGAATGAGTACACTGCCTGAAACAAGTTCCCATCATTGGAGGGAGGGTAATGAGTCATGATGTACCTGGATTGAGTGATGATTGAGTGATGAATGATGTGCCTGGATTGAGTGAAATTGAGTAATGAATTTATTTCCTTGCGAGAGAAGAAAGTCATTCATGACTCAATCCAAGACAAGAACTGGAGGCCTGACCTGGGCAAGTGGGTGGTCATCAAAGAAACAAATATAAAGAGCAAATAATATATGTTTTAAACTTTTTATTGGGTATATCCGATTGTCTGTAACAGTGGATCAAAATGGTTAGTAAAGGCCTTAGTCAGACATGATGATAATTGTTTACTGACTGTGACAGGTAATAATAGGACAGACCCTATGTATATATATATATTATATACATATATATATATAAACACTGATTGGATCAAGATTTCCTGAGCAGCGAAGTGGGTGACGCCTGCGGTCGCGAACCAAAACACTACGCAAGTCGGTGCCCTGGCATCGCATGGAGACGACCTGTCCACCAGAGAGGGAGGTGAACTCACCCCATTCCCAAAACGGAAAACAAAAAAAGAAGAAAACACGCTCTCTCTCTCTCTCTCTCTTTCTCTCTCGATATGGACTGTTGGTCTTCCAGGATACCTTCGTTTGACATGTTTTGACCTATCCCCGCATGGTCAAGCTACACGATGGACCAAACCTTCAGGGAAGATCACCACCCATCCCCTGCGGCCCCACTGGCGGCCCCACCGGACTCGTCGCCCGAGTGGGACTTGTGGCTGGCGATGGAACGCCGCAGATCGCCTGGGCGAGACCGGTGGGGGAGACGGTCGATGAAATGAAGCCCTCCCGTATGAGCTGACAAACCTGACCAATTGGGTGCTTAACTGCTGACTTCTGTACTATACCTCCAGTACCACAGCCTCATACTAGTATGATTACCAGCACCACTATAAGTACTCTACATCAGTCAAGTCTACATCTCTGGTGTGAAAATTCGCTCCCCGCCCTTCCACCACCCCTCGGGGGAAGGCGAAACACCTCCAAGAACGGCCACTCCAATTCATCTGACTGGGTCTCACAAGGGGCCAACTGACACGTGGTGGCAACCAACCACGTGATTTTGGATGAAAAAATTGCGCACCGCAAAAAACTGCAACACCGCTGCAAAGTTCGTCAATGTGCATGATTGAAATGAACTTCGTTTCGCCACCTGTCCCCTGTGTCCAAAAATATTGGAACTGTATGACCAAAACTCTATATATACAGTACAGTATATATACTAATAAGTGTTCTTGAGGCTCACTCATATCTACAACATCCTCGCTTTTCCCCAAAGTCGTCCAGGACACCTGCCGCTGAGCCACCATTGCTGTGCTCATCTCGGAAGGTCGCGCGGTGCGCGAGGCTGCGGCGGATTCCATCGCCGCCTGCGGTCGACTCGGTCGGTGGAAGGTGGTCGAGGGGCACCCTGGGTAGTGGGGATCTCACTGGCCGTTCTGAGCCTTTGAAATCAATGCGCCTTAAAAGGTCATGAAGTAAGGGGCGTCCATGAAGTCCATGAAATACCCCTCATGGGTGGTCTGGATGATCAGACTACCGCACTAGAATGTCGCTACCACGTCTGTATGTTTGAACCTTCAAATCTCTCACATCGTCAAACATCCCAAAAAGAAAGTGAGGTCTTACAGTCTACAAATGTCTAGAGTCTACAGTGTCTATAGTTCACCACTTATATTGAGCTGCTGGGCAATTCAGGAGGGAAAATATCTTGGTGCGTGTCATCCCACCAAAACAAGCTGAGTGGAACTCCACAGACTTCATTTCAACCACACCCAAATCAAGTTGCACTCCACATCCAAACATTGAGTATTTGGTTCTTCCACCTGGTGGAATCTTCCCACCTCATGGGCCATGGAGGTTGTCCCCCCCTCAGTCCTCACATTTCACCTGTTCCCCGCGCACGTACGCCAACGGAAACGGCTCCTGCGGTTTCACGGCGGCCTGGCTGCTGACGGTTTGGTCGGTCGGTCGCGAACGAACGGTTTGGTCAGACCATGTCAGCCGCAGTGTTGGCGCCTGCATAAGTGGCCTCCAACCTCATTGTGATGGCCTAACCTGCGTGTTCACTGGCACTATGGAACATGATATTTGGAGTTGTCAGCCAGAGCGGTGAATAGGAACCGTCGCCCAGCTCCGGCCTTGTTCGCGAACCCAGTGGACTTGCGATAGATTTGCTTTGGACGTCAATTCGAATAATTTGGCCCGGTGGATGTGCGTCTATGTGTCCTCTTCACGTTGGTCTTGGGGGTCCGGCCATGTCTTAAAGACACACCCATTCATCCAGTCTCAGATTTGGCTGCATCCAGGATCCCAGCCAGATGTTTTCCTTTAAGTTTGTGTGCCAGGTGTCCAACAATCGGAAAGAATGAAGGATTCTCTGAGTGATGCTCCAAAAGATTTACAGAAGACCCCGTTGCACCTGGGACACCGCTTCCCGCCCACCCCGGGGACCCCTGCCTTCGCCCAGGGCGGACGACATGCGCACGGTGGAACGTCGGGCGCCTCGCTGTCTCGACCGAGGAACGTGAGGAACGCGACGAGGAACGCGAGTCGTGCCGGGCGCGACGCGGTTGGAGCAAAGCGAGTGTACACAGTTTTACGCTACTAGACCAAGCTTTCTTTCGGTCTTTGAAGGCTGGGGATCAGAAAACTCGGATCGAGACTTCTGTAGCATGGTGATCGAATTGCTTGGAAGGGTCGTGTGGCAAAACAAATTGGTGCGTCGATGGTGCTGCAGGATTTCTCGAGAAGCCAAACCCTCCTCCAACGGTCTTTTTCCATTAGAGAAAACGGAGGACCAGCTGATCCCTGGCTTTTCGAACAGTATGACCACTGAGAAGAAGGACCACTGTGGGTTCTCAACCACATAGAACGAAGGTCCACTGACTGCAACAGACCAGCCTTCGCTTTGGCCCACGTTCGCCCAGTAATTAGTGGTACATATGGGATGGGCGACAGAAGGCTGTTCAACCTCTCTATTCTTTCCGATCAGCTGGAGCACAAAGCACTTGAAAAAAACGAAAACTGAGCAAGGTATTCAAGTCCCCCAAGAAGACGCCCCCGCCACCCTTGGTCTCGCTCATCGACCGCGTCCAGTCCGGCTCATCCTCGGCTCGTCCTATCCCCATCGCTTTGGTTCTCTCCCGCTGTTAAACCGTGGATGAGGATGGTGTTCGGTTATGGCGGCCTTTCTCAAGAATCATGTTTGTTCTTGTTCGTCTTCCTCTGTTCTCCTTTGGGAACATGCCCATCGCCGTCGTCCGTCGTCCGTCGTCGCCTTCATCATGGATGGAATAGACCTCCCCACCATCGTCGCTGCGGGTCATGGCACTGGCCCGGCGCAGATCGCCTGGGTCGACGGAGATGGCGACACCGGTCTCGGTCCACAGGTCGCAAAGCAGAGAGGTTCACTGTCTGTGGATGGTGAGAATGAGCACAAGACTAGCTAGTACAAGAAAAACTGCCAGTATGTCTAGAGGAAGGCCCAAACTAGAGAGAACATGAGAGCACCACATACAATGTTCTTCAGGTTGAGGGGGTTTCCAAGCTTGACTTGCCTCCAGCTCAAGAAAGTGGGGAACACCCACCTTGCGTAAACCCAACTAGTGAATTGGTTGGAAGATGCTCTATGCTCTTCTGTCCGTCTACCAACCCAGCTGGTCAGCACGTAAAGCAAATAGATACATCTTTTACATTCATTTTACGACACCATGTCAGGGATGGTCGAAACCCTCTCGGCTGCACCAGTCAATGGCGACCGGTCACGGGGTTCTGCCCTGCCGCACCTTCCTCTTCTCGGTCCGATTTCCGCATCGCCACGCTCTGTCGAACATCTCCTGGACGCGATGAGCGAAAGCTCCCGCGTCATGTCACACGTCACGGTGACCGTGACGTCTGTGATGTGCTGCTTGAGCGTGGCGGAAAGCGGGGCGGATGAGGCTCATGGACTTCGGGTTCACAACGGGAAGTAAAATTTAAAGTCTCCAGAGCTTGCACGTCAACTTCGTCATGATTGCTATGATTGCTTGCGTCAAGTCTACCAGTCAATTTAGAAAGGTTGTGTGCTTGGAGCCAGCGTCTCTCCACCTGAGACACTTGACCTCTTTGGCTAAGAGCCACTTCAGCTGAACTTCTTCGCTCCATCCAATCGCTCCTTCCAGGCTCTTCCGCGCCACGGAACGGCGATCGCCGCCTGGCGACGACCGGGAAGAAAACCCGAACCTGGGCCAGAAAGAAGGGGTGCTTCGGGGATCTCGGAAGTAGGGAGGCAAACCCAGGTGATTCCGACAGGAAGCTGGAATGGGATCACGTTGGAGCTCAAGACTTAAGACTTCTTTTTCAGCCACCGACTTGTGGAGGCATAATGCATATCCAAAAAATGCAAATTCATATCATAAAATGCATATCATGTTGTATACCTTTAAAGAAAAAAGGTGCACATCACAAAATGCAAAACTTTGTTGGATACTTATCACATACTAAAATACATATGGCACATCTTTGGGGGGCTTCGGCTAGGTCCTGAGATGTGTGCATGCCCAGTGACGATGAGTCCGGTGACCGTCGTCGGACCGGTCCGAACCGGTGTCCGGTCGGTGACCAAGTCCGGTTGCAGTTAGAATAACATCACAATTAAACTAAATTAATAGCTTTTTGTTCCTAGTAGTAAGGCACTTGTTACTACTAGCGATGCACTTGTTACTAGTGGACAGGTGGGAGAACGAATGAGCACAAGAGCCTGATGTTGACTGCTCATGGACCCTAAACCTGGGTCTAAGCTCTCCATGTGGGGGGTGTCCATTCCTCAACCGTCAGCATCTTAGTGGTTTCAGAGCAGTCTATAATGGGGGTCTCTATATATAAACCACCTTTTGGGGATTGTGCCATTTACTCTGAAACCACTGCAGTTGAATGTGGGTTCCCCTTGGCAGTCATACTCCATACAAAAAGACAACGCCCCCCCAGGCCTTTCTGTGGATGGTCAAAAGCATCGGTTTTGCGAATGGTGCATGGTAAGTCGACGTTCAAGACAGCGGTCTTATCTCCAAGTGTTCCTTGCAGAGTTCATGCCTGGTTGTTCAATCTCTGGGTTTTGACCTATGATGAGTTGGGTTTTCAGGTGCTGTGGTCTCCAACTTTTAGTTGAAAACCTGACATACAAACATACAAAACCAGCAATGTGAATATCTCAGAGTCGATCTTGGATCTTCACCCCAGAATACTTAGGATGGAATGGCCCCCATCCCATGTCGTTTTCACGGTCTCCTTCCACTCCTTCAATGCCCTCGAAGTCGTTCACATCGCAGGACATACGGCAGACGCTCGGCGGCAGCGTGCGGCGGTAGCCTGCCGAAGCGCGCGTGGGAAGGCTAGGCAGTTGCGGCAGAAAGAAGATACACTCAGATCATCTCAAATCACTCAGCCAAACCGGGTGACCATCGCCGACATGCTCCTCCGACACCCTCCCTCCGACACAGTCCATTTCCGTGGTCCACTTCGGCCTCCTTGGCTGCCGCGTTGGCTCTCACGCTTTCCTGGAGCGTGGCTGTCAGCCGACGGTGGGTCATCAGACTAGTGACTTGCGGGGAAATGAGTCGGAAGGTTTCGGGGTGGAACGCCCTGTTTCGGAATAAGAGTCCTATGACATTCGGATCAGATCATTGACCTTTGACACCCCTCATTCCATACAAGGGGAAACGTCATAAATGAAAGCTGCCCATCCGTCTCTCTAAGTGGTAGACTGAGGAGTACATCGCCTCTCAGATTGTCGTTCTCTATTCGGGAACCACTCGAACTCTAGGATTCACATTCCAAGCGCATCTGTTCTAGGTTTGACGCTCTGAACCGCATCGCTTGACCAAAAGATATCCATCCACATAGGCCACCAGGCCTTCAACCGCCGCCCCAAGCGCCGCCCGTCTCGGCCTGCTTCGCGCTTCTCGGACGCACAACGAGAGCAGCGCTGGCAGCGGGAGCAGCGGCTCCCGCTGTGCTTGGGGTCGTGGCTGGAGCTGCGGGTGTCACCTCGGCCCAAACTGGAAAGGGAGTGGGAACCGAGACCCTAAGTTTCTAAGTGAGCTCGGCTTTCAACCACCCACCACCCACAAGCATGGTCTTGTCCTATCAAAAACAGGGGGTTCAAATGGGTTCCAGGAAGTTGTACCCCTCTCTGCAGGTTCATCTCGACAAACAGGGCTTGCCGAACTGGTACAGTATATATGGAGTCTTTCTAGAGGGTCTCCACAAGTCTCTGCACAGGTTATACCCACATTACCCATGGGTCAACCAAGAACCATGCAAAAACGCGTCCTGCTACGTGGGTGTCCCACACACCCAGTAAGGGCCGCGACTCTTGAAGGCTTCGTCAAGGGTCCTTTTGTGGGATGCCAACAAGCATTGTTTCATGCGTCTTTAACCAAAGAACCATTGTTTTACTACGGATGTTTTTGACTACACAACCAATTCGGCCATTCTTTTAATGGTCTTTGAAGGCTTGGGCCCTACTCAAACAGGGATGAGCTTCGGTGAGCAGAACTCAACCCAACCCACGGACCGCGTCTCCCTCCGTCTGCAGAAAGCCCATGGGTCCAGTTCACTGGGCTTCAAGGGGTAGACCCCGGACCAAAATGAGACCCTGAATTGCCCGAATCAACCCAGAGGACCTAGAAGGTCCTTGGACCCGGCGTCCGATCATTTCTCTTCCATGCCTCACGCTCGCTAATTGGCGTCTTTCACCGGAATCCGCATGGGGCAGGAGCAAACCTAGCAACACCCCAACAATCCCCAACAAAAAGAAACCGGAATGATAGTTGTCCTCAAACCCTCTTGGGCCCTCCTCCAAACTCTGCGCACATAGATCTCAGACCAGAGCAGGAGTGACGGGCACCTGATCATTGCCACGAGACAGGCATTGGCGCCAAGGGCACCAGGGTTTTCATTTGGGTGTGCTACATCGGAGGTCCATTATTCAGCCCGTTGAAGGACAGCGCGGCTCAACTACCCAGACGAGCAAGCAGGCCGACGGGTCCCTTAAAACGAGGATTTGAGAGTCCGGACCCTACTTATATAGGACGGTCCATGAGCGTCTGGGTGGTTTGTCTCATGTGGTCATTCTGTGTCGTTCTTGGTCCCAGCATGTCTCAGCAATCTTAAGGAGGAACTCGGTGCTCCACAAGGCTCGAGGCCCCAAGAAATCATGCAAAAAGCAGGTCCAAAGGGGTCCCAGCACTCCAACGACCTGCAGTAGCGTGACAGCTGTTGTTCTGCAATGAACTTCACACTTGCACCCGTCTGCACCACCGGTCCAACCCCGCGAGAACGCCGCGAAAGGCGCGCTTGCCTGGGTGATCCGGAAAGACCTGACCCCGCGAGTGGAGGTCAGACTCGCAACAAGGTGGTCGGGACGGTCGGACGGGAGATTCTCACGAAAGAGATCGCGGATAGACGCGGATTTTTTCCGAAAGAGTGCCACCCTCGTCGTCTGACAGCCGAGGAAAAAGCAAATTCTCTGGCCTTGAAAGAGGGGGTACGACGGAGGAATCTCTCCGGAAATCCCTGGTCCGAACTGGCCCACTCGGCGCTCTCCTTGGATCCCCATGAGCCCTCCAAGCTAGAACTGCGAGGGCTGAACAAACTCACCTCTTGAACTGGAAGGCCTGTTGGGGTGACCAAAGAACATCAACAGAGCGAATTCCCCTTTGAACTGGTGACAAAAGGAATTCATGTCTACTGTCTACTACCCCGAAACTCACCAAGGAAAAACCGGGATCTATACCAAAGAAGGACTATTTCCCCCACGTCGTGCCTGGCACAACTGCACCGCGGCCAATTCGTCCTCGAAGGGGTTCAATTCAGTAGTGCAACCTTCTTCAACCCCACGGTGTGAAAGGGTTCCCCGGGTTCCCGCATCTGCTGAAATCAGACCATATCAGACCTATCTCCTCACACGCTTGTCACACTCCTCAATCGCACCGACTTCCACTTCACACGTCGTGCTCCCGCCTCGGAGGCCTTCTTCCAGCGCCCCTCATCCGACACGTAGACCTCGTTCGACACCGGACGGGCGCCACGTCGGGGACGGGGGTCGCGACCCCAGTGAAATGAGCTCCCTTTGGACCTGCTTTTTCGGGCACACCTCGTTTCTAGGTGAGTTGACTAGCTTAGAGTCCTGATAAAAACACTTGGTGGTTCATCTATTTTCGATTCACCCACCGCTCAGATTTTCACCAAGGAGGTGTTGCCACCAAATGAGACCAGGTCCGTCCGCGGTGAGAGATGGCTCAGGGGTTGTGCTTTGGCAGCCGGCCAGCCGGTGGGCCGGTGGGGGTTTCTGCCAGCTCAAAAGCAGGATGTCTTTGCAATGCCCACAAAACCTTGGAGAAGTGACTCTGAGAACTCTGGATTCAACAGTCCCCACAGGATGTGTTCCAAAAATCCAAAGAAAAGCACCTCTTTGTTCCAGCTGGATTCAGCCTCATGCTCTTCGGATCCAAGGGATCCATGGGCGAACACCTCCCGCGCCTCGGTCTCGGCCATCGACTCATCCGAACTCTTCCTCGGCGCGGGCCACGTGACGGTTCGGTCCATTGAAGCATGTTACTAATAGCTTCTTGTTACTACTAGTAAGGCACTTGTTACTAGTAGCGAGGCACTTGTTACTAGTAGCTTCTTGCTACAAGCAATCTTCCATGGTTGGTTTTTCCATAGTCGAAACCATGGTTGGTGAAGCCTCCTTTTTTCATAACGATGGCATTCTCTGGTTGAAACTGAAGTGTGATCGGTCTTCAGCGATGTGGTGCATTAGGCAAAAAGAAGAACGGTGGTGTAGTCTTCGAAAAAAACTATCTATCTATCTATCTATATATATATATATCATATCATATGTGTTTGGAATAGGGAAAGCAATAAAGGTGTACTGTACAGGTGTGTAAACCCAAACTGTACACTCTTATAGTATCTTACTATGATCCTTTGCATTTGGCGCGGTGTGTGTGTGTGTGCATGCAACAGTGCATGTTTATCGCACTGGATGAGGCCATCATGTGAAAGATCTGATCACATCTAGCATGGTTCCTCACACAGGTATGGGTTCACATGACAGGTTCCTACGTGTCCAACCCAAATTCGGTTTGCATTTTTATGGAGAAGCCCTTCCACCAATGGGCTGTACCATGTTGTACTGGGAGGTCTCCCGATCACTGGGGAGACTGATCTATTTTTCATCTGTCCGAACCGAACCCAGGGGGTTGCCCGGGACGTCTCCCTATTTGGCTGTGGGTCATGGCACCGGGGCACCCCAGAATAGACCAACTCAGAAGCTCAACCCACGAGTTGTTTCAGGGGCTCCGTTTGGAACCACGTGAGAATTCACCCGCAAACGACGATCCCTTGCTCCCTGAGAACTCACCCGTAGTTTCGACCATTTTCCTTTACAACCCATAGATTTCGATCCATGTGGTCTTCTGCAGGAGAGTATGCCATACAAGGCGGTCTCGAGCACGGCGGACACCGCGGTCTCGAGCACGGCGGACACCGTGTCGCGCGTTCGGCGCGGACCACAAAAGCAACCCAGCAAAAGAGGTTGAGAGACCTGAACTACGACCCTAAGAGTGACTACATACGAATAGGAAATAGTGCAGTTCAACCAAAACCACCCCCATATGCACTTCTCCCGTGATCTGTGTCCACAGATAAGGCACTCTCCCTGATGACGTTCACCTCACTTCACAGGCGACTCAACGCAAAGGAGCTTGAAACCGGGCCAAATGGGGTGGTGAACGAAACTTCTGGGGCGCTCAAGGCATCACAATGAGGCTCATCATGCGAGTGCAGGGATGGAAGATTTTGGATGACTTCTCCACTCTGAAGACCCGCTTTGGATGGTCTTGAGGCAAAAATGGGGTTGATGAGGATGAGATTGTTGTGTGAGTAAAAATGAGGACACTACGCAGTTGGACTGGTTGGACTTGGGATGACTTCGGAAAAGGCGGGAATCAACCACCCAACTCCAAACAAGACAGGGAGAACTTTCTACTGAGGATCTCTGGAACAACTTGTATTGTTTTACGAACCAACCTGAGAACGAGAAGATCCTTTATCTATACATATATATACATAGATATATATATATACAGTACATATATATATAATATGATCGAGTGTCCTTTAGGTATCATTTCGTAAAAAGAAACAAACACAAATGATTTAATGTTCGATTCAAATATTTATTGCAAAAAGCAATTGTAAATTAAAAAATGATAGATTTTGATGTTTTATTTATTTTGTTTAAAGATCTATTTAATTTATTCAATTTTTCAAATTGTAACTTAAATATATTTAAAAATTAAAGTATTTCTTTTTGTTTGTGGATTTGGCTATGTAAAAAATTAAATAAATTAAACAAATTAAATACATTAAATAAATTAAATCGACGTGTATATTTTTGTTTAATTTATTTAATA